TTACTTTCCCATCTCGAAAGCAAATCTGAATCACAGGTTCACTTTAAAATATATTCATGTTTCTGCCTATGTGAGCTATGCCTGAGGTTGGTTGGATCAAGCCTGCAGATCCAACGGCCTCTCATTTACAGTAGCCAGAAATAGCTCTTTAATGCTAACAAATGCAGCTCATGGTTTCCAGCATCCCTAATGCAAGTAGTAGCTAAAGTAATATTTTATTAAGAACAAAGTTTACTGGATCTGATATTCTGTTCTCTGAGTCGTGGTGAACCGTTCAGGCAGAAACTAAACTGTTATAATGCAAATGAGATTTTCTTAGTTTCAGCCAGAACAAATCATTCAGTCTTCTGCTCTCTGCGACAAACCTTCCATCTATTATTCCTTTATAGCAGATTTATATTGATAGCGGAATCTATACATTCTGTAAATATTACCACCCCTAAAAAATGGGGGGTTTTCTATATGGTATATCTTATATCTCTTCATTTGACCCAAGACATAATGGGTTAGAAAGCATTGATCGAATTGATAGAGAAGCCAAGACTTGGGCTGTCTGTACACCAGTAGAATTTTGTTTGAAAAAATGTCTTCTCAGAATGTTTGTTCGATCTTCTGATAGTTATTGGGGTGACTCGACAATCAAATTCAACTGTAGTGACAAAAAAAATCAAAGGAACAGGATGGACTTTTTTTTTCTCAGATGAATAAATTTTTAACAGTGATTGTGGTTTTGGTTTGAGAAACCTAATTGATTCCAAAATCGAATGTTAAAATCAAATGCAATTTAAAACGACATTCTACAAGTCTCTGAAGGCGTTAGTTAATGCTCTGGAGATATTTTTATGAAAATTCTCTTGAAAATCTGACTGCGCGGCAATCGTGCACAAAACCGGATGGCCGGGCGCTCACGGAATCGCACACCACCACTGATCGAGCTGGCAGTGCCAGTATTTTCTAATGGCACCCCAGTCACGCCAGGCAGATCGAGTGGTTTCCCGCCGCAATACCGTCTGTGCAATCGTGCACGATGGCAGTTGAAAACACCGCACTGTGTGTTGCGAAAAAATTGTACCTTTTTTCAGTGATTGGCAGGCGCATGTAACCCCATTGAAATCAATGGGGCCACACGGCAACCGCTGTATGCAACCGCACACGATTGCCCAAGTCTGCACCAGCCCTAAAGGTACATTCACTTTCCCAAGTAATTTCGGAAAATGGAATTACCCACACAAATCTGGCCCCCTCTCCCTCCCCCCCGCTATGCTTACCTTTCGGCGAACGGTCCTTCCCGTCCGTCAGTATGGGTGTACTATCTGTACCTGTGCCATGTATTCTGAATTTCGCTCTCAAATTGCAAGCACTCGTTGGTCAGCGCGGTCACCTGCTAACCCTTTGCTTCCCATACTGATTACATTTGTATTGCAGTCTGTATCTCTGTTTTAGAGACGTCCCCTCATTTTATGCTTCTATTGGGACCGAGTTTGGTCCGAACCTAATCCCTACTATCTATGACAGGAATTCCATTCACCTGTAAGAGATTTCCTCCTATTTTCTTTTGCATCCTAAAGGGAAATCTCCCCAGCAGGGGACAGAAAAATAGCTGAAAAGGGGTTTTAAATCTTCCCTACCAAAACAAAAAAGCTGGCTGTATATGTACTTTAAGAAGCAGTTGTACAGGGAGCCTCATCATAGATCATATCTTAGGTGTTATTTTAAAAACAAATGTCTAGGAGGTTTCTGAGATGTAGTAAATAAAGACATGTTAAACCTGTGAATCCTCTTGTCAGATGTGAATGATCCCATGAATCCTGCTCCAGGATGAACTAGTTTGCAGCAATTAGTTGGTGTTCAGTGATAACTATTTTGTATCTCAGATTACTTTCTCAACAAATCTATTCTGCAAGACATTTCTTTATGGCCGTCCGGCTTTAACAGTCCTTTAAACACCCACTTACTTCCTTTCACTTTATGGTCTCATTGACCAAGCATTCAGTGTATTTTTAGTCAGCGGGAAGGTTGCACAGGCTAGACAAGCAGGGGGGTTTAAAAGGGAATACATATAAAAGTGAAGACTGTAATACATGACAAAGGTTTGGTGGTGACAAAGAACTTTGAATGTCTTTTGATACTACAGTATTGCAAAGAAATATCTAATAAAGGGGCTTATTGGTATGTGCAGTATGCCATAGTAACTAGGGATGCACAGATACCAGTTTTTCGGTATCGAGTACCGATATTTTTTTTCGGTACTTGCCAATACAGAATACCGTTACTGGCATCCCGAGGTACTGTGGGCCTGGCTTATCAGGAAGCCGGGCGGCGGGCCATGACGTGCCGCTTGGCTTCCTGATTGGTCAGCAAGCCAGGCTGCATTGCAACAAGTAAAGCCAGCTTCCTAGCCAATCAGAAAGCCGGGAGGTGGGTCATGGCGTGCCACCTGGCTTAATTTCTGGCTTTTTATTCTTTGCATACCTTATTTTTCTTCTGACAGTGGCCAGTTACTAGATCTCCCTTTACTTCCTGGAACTCTGGCACATATGACTAGACTAGGACATGTGACCATGCACATCATCTCAGGGGAGGAAAATGCCTTTCCCCGAGATCTCATGAGATTACAGAGGAGATTTCCCAGCAATGCACTGCTGATGTAACCTTCCCAGGATGCAATGCTTAGGCAGGATTAGATGTGTGCCAAAGTGGACCAGGAAGTAGAAAAAAGAAATTGTAAGTAAAATAAAAATATGTTTGTTTATCTAATGAATATAAGATGATTTCATGTCAGCATGCAGAGCTGTATGCTGATGTGATTTTCAGCCAAAGGGGGTAAAGGTCCACTTTAAGTTGTACCATACACAGGCATATGGCCTCTCTCCATTTGACAGCGCTGGTAATTGGTGATTGGCCCAGAGCTGTCACATTGAGCGAGTCACATGCTACTCATACTCAGAACTACTAGGAATTGTTTTTGCCTCCAGCAGCAGCGAAATGAAAAAAATGGTTTGGGCCGCTGAGGAAGGGGCGTTAAAGCAAACAGGCTGCTCTACCCTGCATGGGAACATTTCAGGTTTGCTTAAAATACACTGGGATCTTCCAGTAAATTCCATGACATATATGATCTTTTCAGCATGTTTTGTGTATACCCGGCAGGCAGCAGCCTTCTCATAGTTGAATGTACTTGAAGCAGTCACATTGTTAGTCCAGGAATATGTTGGCTAATAAGATCACATTTCCGAAGGGTCAGCTGACTGTAGAAGCCTACCATGGGCTTTAAGCTTAGTAGTCCTGCAGAGAACCTTCCTTTTCTCTCTCTAGTTGTACACTTGTGTACTTACTCTTAGGTCAAGAACATAGTTGAACATGGGGATGTAGAGTGACCAGTAAACCACAATATTCTATCTTAAGACTCAGCTCATGCAGAATGTTCTTTGACGTAGGTCTGGTAAAGAAATGCTTAGGCCGTGCAGTTTTTCCTATAAATGCTATTGGAATATGGAACAGATCACTTCATATATATTTTGTGATGCTTATAATCAGATTATGTCTTGCGCTAATGTCCCTTTTAAGTCTGCATTCGTAGCCCTTTTGTTTGATATCTGAAGTGATTTTCTTTCCATCTTGTTAACTTTGATTTGGTTTAAATCTTTTGCAGACAAAATCATGGAAGACGTTCTTCACAATGGTACACTGGTCACTCAAACGACACAATTCCTGGGTTCAGCTGGCTGGCCATGAAGGTATAGTAAAATAAGATGGAGCCCCAGTGCATGTGGCAGTGTTAAAATGTATCCAATGCCAGAACTATTTCTTCTTATAGAGTGTGGAAGGAGTATAACCCATGTCAGGTTTTCATTGCTGTCTGCATCCCTCCTATTTATCCTGGTGCTCCCTGTCATTGGGCCAGAAAGTAATGGGAAACAGTTCTTTAAGCTGGACACCAGTTTTGGTGATCCTCACTGTGGAGAGACTTCTTCTTATTTCCGGTGGTGTTTCAAGGGCAGGAAGTGAAGGGAAATCACCCCATTGGGACATAGACAACAGATAAACAAAACAAACCATTCCCTTCTCTATCCAAAACTTTAAAAAAAAGTGTTGGCTTTAGGTTTACATTAAGGTGACACTAAACTCAGGAGTTAAATCTTAAAAATGCATTCAAGTACCTTAACTATTAACAAAAATGTATCTTATGTGTGTATCACCGGCTCTAGATCCTCAAATCATCCCGAAATTAGTGCTGACACTGTTCTTCCTTCTGGAGGGTGGCTACTTTTGTTCCACATAGTCCCTGTGTGTGTTGTAAAGTATCCACCGCTCCAACCTCGCTCCCGTGAGGGACTACAATCTCAATACAAATGACTAAACTAAACATGAGATTATTATTATACAGGATTTATATAGTGCCAACAGTTTGCGAAGCGCTTTACAATATAAGGAAGACATTACAATCTAAGGCTCCGTTCACATATAGCGACTTGTCGCACGATTTCCGCCGCGATATTGCGCATTTTTGCCGCACGATACCGCGAGAAGTCGCCGGCCAATGCTATTCAATGGAGCTGTCTTAACTCCATGTCGCGCGTCGCTGGTCGCAAGTCGCTTCTACAGGACCCTTTTTTCGGCAGATTTTGCGCGATTTTGCTTTTTTTTCTATGGAGCCCGACGGAGAAGGTCGCGCTACCGTCGCTGGATCGTTGCTGGAACGTCGCCCCAAAAGTCGCGCTATCCCGACCGCTGAAAAGGTATGTCGCTATATGTGAACGGGGCCTAAAAGGGAGGGGGAAGTGATACATGAGGAGGTAGCTGTATGGGGATGATTTGTTTGAGAATGTGAAGGTTACAAAATGTTTTCATTTTGAGAATATCAGTGGATACAGAGATCTATGCAGTTATATATATATATATAATTTTCCTGCAAAAGTTCAGCTTGATACCACCCTCCTGTGTCTTGATGCTCCTGGTTGGTCAGTGAGGCTGTCCATACCTTTAAAGGGCCAATAAGGAGGATCAGGAGGCAGGATTAAACACATTTTATGACGATAGAAGAGCTTTGTATATAAATTCAGCTGTGTGGATCTACTGATAATAGGAACGTGCTTTTCCATTAAAGTAGCCTCAGCTTATGAACGGTTTAATTATTAATTAATTTAAGTAAAAATCCCTTCAATTTTCTCCCCTCTGGTAACAGTATTCAGAGCAGAATTCTAAAGAGAATTACAAAAAGCTTTGAAGTTTTTCATTTGACGTTTTCCTTGTCCATTTATGTTGCTTCTAAACCCAAAAACAAAATGTCATCTATTGCAGAATTCCATCCCTTAGATATGGTGGCTGCATTTGTTTTGTTTTTTTACAGGCTAAGTACATTTGAATAAATGAACTGACATCTCAAACTCGTTATCAGCTTTTCCAGCTATCACCTGTGAACTATATAACCCCTCCCCCTTTGTAATGGAAATGAGAGGAGGAGGTATTTGTAGTCCAAATCAGCTTGTGAGGACAACAGCATTCCTTCATAGATATGTTGCAGTGAGTAAAGAGTGTCATTCTAATGCAGAGAGTGTGTTACTGGCAGGATCACGAGGTAAAAGTAAAGGAAATAAAGGTCGAAGAAAACGGAAACTAATGCAGTCACCACATCTAAGGACTGCAATATAGGACATTTTGGTTGTGGGGATTAGATACACTTTAAGAATCACACGCAGTGTCATTATTGTCCTGGTATACAGCACCATAAGAATAATCTAAAATCAGATCCCTCTCTATATATATCTCACTTGCAGTCTATTCATTCTGCCTCCGGTCCATGTTACTGAATGTCCGCACCTTGGTAATGACAGGACATATATAGAGAATGTCACCAGATTCTATGTCTTGGATTACAGCGGCGCCATCCACAGTCATTTCAGCACCCAATCTCACAAAGTGGTTTATGGGACAGGAGTGCGGTGGGAAACCCAGATAATTGGCATGGACAGGAATGGGAGCGAGAACCTGCAGGAGCCAGAGCATTGCACCCGCGATCAGGGCAGCCATCAGGGGGGGTACGACCGATACTCATGTGAGAGGCCCGGGCAGCCTGGAGGGCCCGCCCGGGTCCCTTACATGACTATCGGCCGACGGTGAAGGGCGAGGAGGCGGAGGCCTGGCCCTAGCAGCGCAGGACCCCGGCATAGCCGCTCCAGCGGCCTCGAGACAAGCTGGGGCCCCATCAGCGATGCTGCTGGTCTGATGTCAGACTGGCCGGAAGTGACGTCATGCTAGTGATTAGCGGTTACAATGCTTTACTTATTTATTATTTATTTATTTGTTAAAACTGGACTTTGCCTTTAAATTTACCACAATATTAAGAACAGTGACTTACAAACATTGCTCATCTAAGAACAATCCAAGTCCAGGTAACTGAGTATTCCTTCATGCAATTGTCTTTCAAGGTAACTTCAAAGCCAGTGAGCGGGGCCACATTCTGAAGAAGTTCAGTCCTATAGAAAATGCATGCTTGGAGGCCCTAATGGAAGATATCCTCCGACCATATGTTCCTACCTACCACGGACTGGAGCAAAGGGAAGAACAGACATACATCAAAATGGAAGACCTTCTTATGGGCTTGGAGGCAGCGAGCATCATGGACTGCAAGATGGGTTTTCGGTAAGTGCTCCATTTGAAAGTTTTGAGGCGGAGAACAAAAAACACAAGGAGGGGAATGTATTGAAACTGGAGCAGATAGAATCTGGAGCAGTTTCCTATGCCAAAGCTTACCTGAACAAACTGGAGAAGCTGATTGGTTGCCATGAGCAACTGCTCCAGATTCTGTCTACTCCAGTTTTGATACATTCCCGCCATGCTGCCTGTTGGCTTTTTACCAGAAAAGGTTCTTCTGTGCCCCATTCTAATTTGTTTTCACTTTATAACTGGGGCCTGACTTCATGACTAAGCCCTGCTAGCTGCCATTACGGTGTCCAATGAGACTTCCTCGGAGGCCAGTAAAGGTCCTTTCAGACTGTGGAGCTAAGCAAAGTCAAGCTTCTGTAACAAGTCAGAGAGAGGCACAGCAGAGCATCTTCAGACTAATCAAAGTATTAAAGGGCATCGTCTGATCTGTCTGCAGAAACGTTTATAGTTGGGTAAGATTCACGTTAAAGCCTATGTGTCTTGTAGGGAACAAACTATTATTTGACAACATGCAACTTCCTAAAACAGTTGTTGTCTTTGAAATTCATGCTGCCATTGCCAAGCCACCGCTGTCTGCTGCTCACTCAGATCTTCATGTTTACCAGAAAGCTGCACAGAGCTGGTAGCTCATCACAACCTGTCTCCACCATGAAGAGAATTATTCACAATGGCCCACACATACCAATTTCAGCAGTGCACTGCAGGGAAGGGGGGTTACATGGAAGGGATATAGAAAATAGGACCAGTGACTGCAGCTGGAGTCATCAATTCTCCTCTGCTGCTCAAAAGTAACAAACCAATGTGCACAATCCATTTGATTACATATGTGTGTGGAGTGCAAGTCTTTCACAGAGTCTTGTGTCTGTCCCAGTTTGTAGGTGTATAGATACAAAACCTACCACAAATCCTTTCATCAATGAAAATCAGCTGGATTTGCACAAGAATAAGGGCCCACTCACACTATCATGGTACCCCAATGTATGGCACCCCAACACACCTTGCCAACGGACTGCAATTGAGGTGCACTTCCAGAAATGGTGCATGCATCATTTTTGGTGCGTTGGCAGCTGATTCATTTTAATTACTGCTTTTTCCTTGTAAAATGTACAGTTATGTTGCAGAATTATATTGTTTTTGTATCATAAGACAATGAATTATACCGACTTGTCAAATACTGATGGATACACTTTAAGATACTACAATGTTATACATGTAGAAATAGGTTATTCAGTAACTGCTCCCCCCAATCTAACCGTTGTCTTCTCTCTATAGCTCATTGGTCCTCAACCAGTTAAAACTGAGTTCAGTTTAAAACATTTTAACTGTACAACCTGCCAAATAAATTTTAATTCTGCTCAGCAAGTCTTGTGACTAACAACCCAGCCTTGTCCCTGGAGGTTCCTGCACACTACACTGCAGTTAAAGGAGAAGTACTGGGAGAGTAAAATGTACTCTTCCCGATACTTTGAGCTGGCTTGTGACACTGCAGCTATCGCACACCAGCTCTATAGATTGAGAACTGAGCGATCACATACTGCTGATCGCTCAGCTCACGGCTTCTCCCTAAGGAGAGGTTACTACCAGTAACCACTCACTGCAGGGATTCCTCCCTTCCCTCTCTATTTCTCCAGTGCTCATTGGAGGGACAGACGGGAGAAGGTGGGCACAGCCAGCTGTCAATCAGGCAATATTGTCTGGATCCTTCCCAGCTGCAGCATGGCTCTGTGCTGTCATCACATAGCAGCCAGTCAGGGCCAGTGCTGCCACTAGGCAAACTAAAAACACACAATGGTTAGAGCGCACTCCTGTAGGACAAACACAGGTAGGAAATAGATCTGCTAGGGGATGGTGTGCAAAGCTCCTCAATACAGGGGGAGGGACCCTGTGTATCACAATTCAAGACAAACAAAAACACTTTTTTGAGGAGCGCAACTACCTATAATTAGAGTAATGGACCCAATGTGCTAAGCTAGGGAAGATGCATAACAGTTTAAAATACGGCGGCTGAGACGGGAAAGCAGTGAGCCGCGATCGGCTCCGTGACCCCAGACTCTATGTGTGTTGTTACAGTGTCCGATGTGACTGTCAGCGAAGTGCATATTTTAAACTGTTATGCATCTTCCCTAGCTTAGCACATTGGGTCCATTACTCTAATTATAGGTAGTTGCGCTCCTCAAAAAAGTGTTTTTGTTTGTCTTGCACTAAGCAAACTAGGCAGCCGCCTAGGGTGCACTGCTGCCTAGGGCGCAGCCTCGACCACTCACCCCATTTCAAGTTGCAAAAGCCAATAGCAGGCTCGTTATTGCACCCACCCACTGAGCATTGGAACTCAACTGAGAGACAATTTTTTGGCTATTGTCCCGGCTGCTTACATCCATCTTTCGCCTATTGAAGCTAGCCGGCAAGAGAATGGGGCCGGAGGGGGTGTGGGGGGGATTGCGGGCTGCGCCGGTGGGGGTGCAACTAGCTGAATAGTCTAGCACCAGCCCTGCAGCAGGTAGCTCACTACATGCCGACTTTGAGTCACTGTGACCCAAAAGAGAACTAAGCCAAAAAAAAAGGGTTTGGCTATAGTTCTTTTTTAAGCAATATAGCCTGAAAGTTCTGTTCTGCCCATTATTATTTTTTTGATACTGCACCTTATCTGGCTCGTATCTCTCAGATATCAATTGAAGTACATAATTAAAAAAAGTGCATAATAAACTGGGGATGGGGGAGATTTATCAGATATGGAGCAGTTGCCTATGGCAACCTAACATCTTCTCTCTTCATTTTGTTCAGTTAGGCTTTGAAAATGAAAGGTGGATGCTGATTGGTTGCAATGCACAGCTGCTCCAGTTTTGATACAGTCCCTTCACTGTGTTTAGCCTGCTCGGTGGCATTTTACCACTACTGTTATAACGCCATCAGTGTTATTTGCTTGGCTATTATGATACAATCAATGGGAAAGTTAGTTTGCATAGATTACTACACAGGTTCCTTAACCCCATCACGACCAGTGACGTACATATTACGTCATTGGCACCAGGCCCGTTTAAACAGACTCCTGGAGGCTAAAGCTGCCGGGACTCTGTTTACTTTTGTAGAGCCAGCTGTCAGCTTTACAATAGAAGTGATTCTGGCAACTCAGTTGTTGCCAGATCGCTTCTACGGGTTGGTAAGCTGCGCGTCCGACACCCCCGTCGTGTTTCCCGGGCTCCAATACCCCTCCTGCGGCCCAGGACCAGCATCTCAGGTGTCGGTGGGAAGCTGGGGAGGAGAGCGGCGAATGTCTTAGCACCGATCTCCTCCCTGTTCTATGGGACTGGGAGCGACGCGTATTACATCACATCTGTTCCCATAGCTGTCAGTGCTGGGCTCCTGAAGCCCAGCAATAAGCTATTGAAGTGCGATCTGCACTTCATTAGCTTATTTCAAGTGGAAAGGTGACACTAGGGGTCTTCTGGACCCTTTTGTTTTTAAACAGGAAACATTAAAACAGGTCCCCCTTACCTGTTACTGAACCCTTGTAAGTCGCTGCGGCGGAGTGCTCTGCGGGTGTGTCCGGCTTGTGCGGTGGACGTGGCGTACGCGTCGTGCGTAGCGTAACTCGTGTATGGAGCCGCGAACAGGAGGGTGTGAGGGAAATGTAAATTTTAGCCGATGAATGGACGATGGAAAATGCTGACAGCGTTTTCCATCGTCGATTTGAATCGACTTAATCTAATAATTGTTGCAGCTCTACAGAATACCAATGTATAATACAGCGGCACACTGCTGAACATTAGCAGCTATAGAGGAACAACAAATCCCAGCAATAGTACATTATACAGGCTGTTTGTTGTTCCTCTATAGCTACTAATGTTCTGCAGTGTGCCGCTTTAAAAAAAAACAGGAAACATTAAAAAAACTCCCGGCCGATCTCGACTTACTTTGAATGACGGTGTTGTCGGCGGGCAGCGGCGAGTCGGGAAGCTCACCGGGAGGAGAGGGCCAGACGCATGTCCTCAGCGTGTGCGGTGGGCATAGCATAAGCAGCGTCACGTGAGCGGGTTTATCGGCGTGGCGTGAGCGGCTTAACCAACGTGGGCGTGGCGTGAGCGGCAAATTGGAATTTTAGCCGACGAATCAACGATGGAAAACAGTCCATCACGGGAGCAAGCTGGCTTTCTGGCCATTCAGAAAGCTGGGGGGCGTGTAATGACACGCCACCCAGCTTCATGATTGGCCGGGAAGCCAGCTCCATGCTCCCTAGTCACAAATGATGAGGGAGCATGGAGCCGGCTTCCCGGGCCAATCAGGAAGCTGGACAGCATGTAATGACTCACTGCCCGGCTTCCTGATACCAGAAGGTCAAGTATCGGGCCAGGCATTGGAGAGTTTGGGTGAGTATGAGTACTCGGCATCGGCACTGATACTAGTATTGGTATCGGTGCATCCCTAGCAGCAACCTTCCTACCTTTAAATGTCTCCTCGAGCAATACAGGTGAACCAAATCTATGGGGGTTCTAATGTGCATGTTTTGAAACTTTCAGGTAGTGTTGAGAGATGCCTGGCTCCCTCCTGCACCTTCCTATTGGTCTGTAGGGCTGCCCATTATAATGACAGACCAGTAGCAATGTATAGGCAGCAAGATAGGGAAGGGACGTTTTTAACACTACCAATAAGTCAAATTGTTTGTATATTAGAGCACCCGGGATTTAGAGGGAACTGAAAGCCATGTGCAGACATTTCTGGATGCCTTTCTTGTAGCAGCCTGTTCAGCAGTATTATGGTACTGACAGGTTTACATTAGAACATTGACATCATTTAGCAAATGACAGATACTTAGCACAAAACAGATTTTCTAAACGTTTGCTCCCATCAGGATTAGCAAAGTTTGCTGAACATTGTTAGTTTATGTGCCCGCCTAACAAAACATTTCCTGGTATGTATTTTAGAAATGAACATCATTAAATTTCAAATTTCTTAAACCTCTGTTTTCACTTTGGGTTTCCCATTGCCGAATCTCTTATGTTGATGTTCCATAAGGTTCCCACAAGGTGTGGCTATCTGGTAAAATGGTGCTCTTGGGGTGAACAGTAATCACATGATGAGGGAGATTTACAAAACTGGAGTAGACAAAATCTGGAGCAGCTGTGCATGACAACCAATCAGCTTCTCTTTTCAGTTTGCTCAGTTAAGATTTGAAAATGAAAGCGAGAAGCTGATTGGTTGCCATGCACAGCTGCTCCAGATATTTCATTCACTGTGTTTGCAGCCATACATACAACTCTGAATGCCAGTTGTACCTACAGAAGCCAGGACGGTGCGGTCTGCAGGCAGTGATTAGAAGCATGATTTTGTATGGTTTGTGGTGTTCCCAGTGAAAAGTGCAGAATGTGGAAATACCTTTTAGGCAATCAGATTCAGATGTAATATAATCCTTTCTGGTACAAATTGTCCTTTTTGCAGAACATACTTAGAAGATGAGCTTGCTAAAGCCCTCCTGAAGCCCACACCACGCAAGGACTTGTACAACAAAATGGTGTCCCTGGATCCCCAGGCCCCCACACTAGAGGAGCACCTGCAGAAAGCAATCACTAAACCACGTTACATGCAGTGGAGAGAGAGTGTCAGTTCTACGGCACTGTTGGGATTCCGTATCGAGGGTGTCACAGTGAGTCAGTGCTCAATCATTTCTCAGAACCTACAAGATACATACGAGTCTCATAAAACTACAAGTCATACAGAGCACACCTAGCATGTAGCGTATGACCTGTCACACAGACTTGCTTCCCTTTTGATGAAACTACTTTCTGGTTCACTCAGCACTTCACGTTTTCACATTACTTTCAAAGAGTAGTCATGTGATTCCCGAGTTATTCCTAATATCTGACATTGTCAGCCAGTAAGTCAACTAAGCAGTTCAAGTTTTTTCCTCTAAGCAGAAAAGGGCAGAATAGTGTATATATCTTCCACCTAAAGCTCCAGTAACAATCGACTCATTCTTCAGTTATTAGTATAGCCCAGGCACAATAGTTTCACACATACTAGAGGTGTAGAAAGCTCATCTGTGCCAGGTGTAGATGGCACTTACCAGAGCTCTGCTCAATCATGCAGTTTTACTACAAGTTTTTTATCTGGTTGGATTGGCCGTCAGAAAGGTTACTGACCTTTGACCTTTTGTCTCCCAGATTGAAGCTGGCTCGGTCAAGAAAAACTTCAAGAAAATGAAGGGTCGAGAACAAATCATGGAAACATTTGTCACTTTTACAAAAAGCCGAAAGGACATCCTGGTACGAGACATCACTGTTCAGCACCTACTCTTCCAGTGCAATGTGGAGTTATACACGGGGACAGCCCAGCATGCATGCCCTGCTCTGCAAAGCTAGCTTCTGGTTACAGCATTTGTGTCTGTCTTAGACATGTCACTTCATCTCTTCTGGACTGCAGGCTACATCTGGATCTCTGTAATTAGCAAGCCAATATGTCTGTCACATTTAACACAAGCAATAGGGCAGCAGTCCATCCATCCTGCTTTACCTGTAGTGGCTTCATAACTCTGGGAGCGTTAAACTACTCTACGCTTGGGGAATGTAACCAGACTTGTCTTGTGTTTTCCAAGAGGTGTGACAGAGTGGGAAACATAAAGCCTGCAGCACAATGCGATAGTTCCTCTTACTTCACATACAGACATAAACATTGGGTTTCATTGAGCAAAGTATTTGAAATTGTTTCTACTTTCCCGCAGTAACCAATCAGATTAAAATGTGCAGCAGGCAAATTAAAGTTTGGAATAGGGATGCACCGATACCAAGTACCGTACTCGGTACAAGTCCAAGTGCAGGTACTTTCCCTGCTACTAGACTACAGAAAAATCCAAAAGTTAGGAGGCAGCGTTCATTTGTAAGGAGCACACGGAGCTCCTGGGATTTGTACATCTGTTTTAATGTACGATTTTGTTTTTATAAATAAAGGGATGCACCGATACCAGTTTTTCAAGTACAAGTACTGATACTTGCCCAAGTACTCACAGATACAATTACCGATACATTTTTGTTTGTCATGTGACAGTTTTTCTAAAACAATGCAGACAAATGATTTCAGGACAGTGGTGGAGTGCCAGAGCCAGGTCCCAGCTGCAACCCTGATAGTTCTCGTGAAAATGCCAAGTATCGACACTGGTATCTGAAAAGTATTGGTGCATCCCTAGTTTGGAAGCTATTGGAAACACACTAGACAGTATATGTGGCAATCAAGGATTCTGAGATCCCAATCTAGCTTCTGTATGTATCTGCTCAACAAATGTAAAATCGCTCTGCTACTGACATTTAACCATTTGATGACATGCATTGATTTATTGGCAGCTTCATGAAATCAATGTAAAGCTGATATTATAATTTTGAACAAGTAGTTTAACCTGTTAACTGAACACAGATTGAATCACTCCTGTAGCCCTAACCTTGTATGTGTAACAACATGTAATACTTTACAAAGAGAAATCCCCAGTATCTGCATGCATACAGCAGTGCCATCTTGTGTTAGAAAACGTGAAAAGTTTGCTCTCTTTATTTCAGGCTGCCTATGTGAAGCGTCTGGAGAGCATGCAGGCTGCACTTAAAGAGTCTGAATTCTTTCGCACCCATGAGGTTAGTAAACAACGTACCCAATATTACAATGCAAGGAGCCCCATTCGCGTGCTGTAAATTATAGCAACAAATCAGTTTTCTGAAATCGGATCTGTGGAAACATAGACTCCGTTTGGTCGCTCGGAAAATCTTCATGGCATTATTATTACAGCTGACCTGAACACAAAAAGTGAAAATTTGCTATGAGGAACCTCTAAAAATGTTAATACTATAACAAAGGTATATTTTGTTTGGAATTCCTCCTAAATACATAGCAGTGCACTTCCTAGTATGTGAGTGTGCCAGAGCACTTAGGTCTCATAATACACATATACAGCTAAGGCTCTGCTGTCTCTGAACACTAGAGCCTCAACCACAATGTCCACCTCCACACAGAGACACAGTGTAGAGCAAGGCATGGTGTGTCAGTAACAGGAAAAGATCAGCTAAAG